GACAGTTGGGCACAAGGAAAGAACACACCGACTAAAGACTTAGGAACTGCCAAGTAAATGTTGGTGTCCGTTGCAACCTGATACTATTGCCCACAATGAACCATGGGGGGAATGACCTCCCCCAAGCCAATGAGTTAACATGTGCCATGAATCTCGGTCTTCTTCGTTTGGTTTCACAGGTGTTCATGTTTTAACTGGATTGCGAAGTTGCCGGTGGTAATCCCCATGCACCAAACGGACCAAGCTCCAAGTTGTTAAGCTGGGAGGGAACTTAAGACAAGCTACATTTATTGCAGGGTTTGCGAGCAACCGGAGAGTCCTTGCACAGCCTCGCCACTTGGAATGCGACTCTTCAGGTGATTGGCTTCGGACAGTTACTAGATTGGAATCCTCATGGGAAAATCACCTGCTTGGCGTGTAGCTTCGCAGAAATTGAAAGAGCTGGTTAGCAGTTGGACCGTGACTGATATGAGCTAGCTGGTTGTGTCTCGGAAGTATTTCCCCCTCGCGCACAGCCGGATGTAGAGGATAGGCTTATCTCAGAAGGAATGCTTTCCACGCGGTCGCCCTTGTCAAATTCCATAGTGAGTCCGAGGCCATAAAATGGGTAAAGACCTACAATTGGAGGCTATAAAACGGGATTGTACAAATGTGGCGTTTTGTTCTGATCAAATAGGTTGCGCTTAAATATCAGCTACCCCAGTTTCCAGGACTTGTCTGCCGCGCACAAATTTGCCTGACTCCTACTGTGAACATTGGGCGCTTTAGTCTGTTCTGCTCATACCATCAGGTCGGGCGACGGTGGCCCCTTTTTGGTCAAAGGTAGAATAAGTGTCGGCAATGTTTGATGATTTGTTTTGCTTAGGAATCGTTTGCCCGCAGCCAGGGGCTTGTGCACTAGGGGGCTGTCCACGCCTCTTACTGGGTTCCACGCCTGTTTATGGTCGTTCCACGTTTTGTCCATGGTTTGTCCACGGCACATGCTTCTCAAAGAACACCGTGTTTGCGTTCCAATGCTTGGACCGGGCGCATGAAGCCCATGACTTGATGAGTGAAGGCAAAGAAACAGCGAGCGCAACAATGACAACTTGCACACACTATCCAGCCGGCAAAGAGGGTTTTGAACGCACCAGCAGGTTCTGCAGGATTCGGTTCCAAGATAGTCCAATCGATCCACATGAAGTAGCCGGGCCCGGTGCATCGTGTTCAAGCATTCCTGGTCTTCGCTCAAACTTACTTTCCATACCAAAGTTCACTTTCGCTAATATGGCTCTACAAGGCTCAAAGCCTTCCATCTCTCCCAATTCCCAGTGCAAAAAAATCGACATGTTCAACCAACAACCTGAGCCGATTGAACAACTGTGCATTGAGATTTCCGATTCAGCAAACAACTCATACTTGGCCAGTCAAATGATGCCTTCGACCCTTTATTCCTTTTTATCTTCGAGGGACATAACCAGTAGGTGGTTTGCGCAGTTTATGGTCTAGACACATACAAGTATGGTCGAGGACGCCCATGATAGGTCTGAGATATGTTGGTTGCCGTTGTGGCGATTGCCAGTCCGAGCAGGCAGTTTCGCCAGCTTTAGGATACCTGGGATATCGTTGAGAAGGGATCTGCAACTAGGGGATGCTGCGTGTTTAATGGGCGCCTAGGCGCCCGTACTGTCAGAATAAACCCAGCTTAGCAGTTCAATTAATGCCGGGCAAGCTTTGCATTGCAAGTAATTAGCACATGAGTGGTGGACGCAGGAGTTTCATCTCAATGGAAGGATGCGGGCTTTGACTGCCGAAAAAGAGGGTCCAGCGCCGAAATCCAGGGGTTGTTCACACACGGTGGCCCTTTCCGCCATGCAATGCTCTCCTGTTCGGGATGCATAAGTATTGACAACGTGTCTTAAGGATTTGGCAGGGCAACCACTTTCCACACGGTGTGCAAAGGAGGTGTGCGCAAGACGAAACAAAGTATGCCAAGCTCAGCCGAATACATACATGCTGCTGGACCTGAGCGATCCTACGCTGCACATTCACTGTGCGTATTTCCGAGAGACTCAGTGACTTACCTTGCAATGGGCACAATGGACATCATGTCGCTATCACAGATGGCAGTTTCAGTTGCGCTGACGCAAGAGCCCACAGTCTGCGCAAATCCTCAGCGAGGGCACAGGCGCAAAGCCTGAAAAGCGGCACAAGCGCTGATAGCCACGCGTGTCACAGACGTGGCGCTCACATAGACGCGTTGGCACGTTGGCGCGTCGTCAGCGCAAACCGGCCCCCTTTTGACAGCGCCCGGCCCAGGGCTTTGCCCGGATGCTCGGAGACGCCAGAGGCGCGCAGCGCCGCGAGCGGGCTTGCCTTCGGGCTCTGAGTCTGTTTTGGGATATGAGGCCGTGAAGCAAGCATCCTGTTGACCTCCCTAGAAACGCTTGTTTTTTGTAGTGACGGGGGAGTTACGCCACTTTGTAGGCAACCTATTGTTTCAATGAATGGGCGCCGCAACACTGCAAAACGCATGCGTGCATCTTGTAGAGGCTACAAGTTGAGGGGTTGTGCTTGGGTCGGTCATTTTGTAGAAGTCTGGTTGGTAAGTTTGGCATTCTGTAGAGCTTGGGCCTGGTTGAATCCATTTGGAACACCTTAGTAGGATTGAGAGCCAACTCGCCCGCTACAAGGTTGGCTCCGAGAATGTAGATCCCTAACTCAAGGGACAGCGCGTCGTAGTGACCGCTTGGAAGAAGCGAAAAGCGCCCCGTCGAATTCAGGGACGCATTTTGTAGCTATGATGTTCTCCAAGCCGCCTCATCTTGCACCCAAACCTTTTTGCGAGAGGGCTGCTCCAACCCCACCTTTTAAAATCACAGGGGGCTAAATAGCTCTGCTTGGGTGGCAAAAGCGATCCTTCGTTGCTTCCTCCACCTGAACATTGTTGGCTCGAGATGCCCTTTGCCAGCGGGAGCTGGCAGAAACGAACGTCATGCTACTTTGAAGGTCATGGTTCTTTCAATGGGCAGCCAAAAGGTGCCATGCATGTTGGTGACTCATTGTGTGAGCTGCGTGTCAGCACATTGACATGATGTTCACTGGAGTGGTGCGATACAGAAGAATGACACTTGCATAGGTCTTGAACTAGCCAGGCGTGACAGAACGCGCCACGTCCTTGATTTGCATGAGGATCCCAAAGTGACAATCTGTGTTTGGGCGTTGATGGTATGTTTGGGGGTGCTTTTGCATTTGGCTCAGAGTTTCATTGAACTGCTGGTTTCACGGCCTTCATCCTGAATTTCGGGCCCCCAGAACAGTCTTAGTGCTTGACATGCGCGCGGCCATGTGAACAGCACATCTGGCCCTGTAAACGCTTATGTCACATGTCTGTTGGAGAAAGCTGGCGTTCCCATGAGCAACTGCTACATTCTTCGTCAACAAGTAGCGAACTCATGCTTGTCGGTTTGCTGCCCCCCCCAACCAAAAAAACAGCAAGAAATAACACACAAATACATATTAAATTAAAGATGAGTAATCGTTTCCGGCGTCCCGCTCTTGTCTTTGTCCTTGAGCCACGACCTGCCAGCTCACAGATTGTTTCCCAGCTCTCGACTCACATTGCTGTTTTGGCAGGGTCTTTCATGATCGCACTTGCTGGGGCATGTGGAAGTAGAGATACATGACCCACAGCCGTCCGTATTATCCCCACGAGGTGTGCAATTCCTGAAGAGTGCTTTGAGCAAGATGTCATCGATCATTCGAACAGTTGCCCTGCATTTGGCTGGTCAAGTTGCAAATGTGGACCAGCTAAGGTACTTGTTGGCATCATGTATGCAAAAACATGTTCGCCTTTGATATGCAGTTTCTGCTGCAGGTGCCGTGAATTCAATCAGCAATAACTTCGGCACGTGAGTCCACGATATCATCAGACGCCGATCGCCCATGCCGTTGATTGTCACCACGCAGGGCCCGGTCGGCAAATGAGTCGAGACTATGGTCGGCAGCAGGTGGGCCGGGTAGGGGGTCGCGGGCATGGGGCCGCGGGTCTGGCAGGCCCTAGTTATCGTGTTTCAAAACTGCATTTCCCCTATCCTCAGCTGTGTTCTTTGAGAAGCTGCGCGGTGTACCATCAAGTTGATGAGATGAGGTGATTTGGACTGCCTTTGATTGAGGCTCCGATTCAATTGAAAAAATATGAGCATGTAGGTATGCAATGTATGTATTGTATGGGAATGTATGCAAGATAATGTTGTGTACTGAAAGGTAATGTAATGTGGTGTAACGCAATACAACTTGATGTGATACAATAAAATGTGGTGTAGCGAAGCGTAGATTAATGACATTGTTGACAGTACTGTATGTTTGTATTGCAATGTAATGTATTGTAGTGTAATGTAATGTAATGTGATGTAATGTGATGTCTGTAACGTATGATTGCATGCATGTATGCATGCACGTAATGTATGTAATGTATGTAATGTATGTAATGTATGTAATGTATGTAATGTATGTAATGTATGTAATGTATGTAATGTATGTAATGTATGTAATGTATGTAATGTATGTATGTATGTATGTATGTAATGTAATGGAATGTAAGTATGTATGTATGTATGTAATGTAATGTAATGTAATGTAATGTAATGTAATGTAATGTATGTATGTATGTATGTATGTATGTATGTATGTATGTATGTATGTATGTATGTATGTATGTATGTATGTATGTATGTATGTAATGTATGTATGTATGTAATGTATGTATGTATGTATGTATGTATGTATGTATGTATGTATGTATGTATGTATGTATGTATGTATGTATGTATGTATGTATGTATGTATGTATGTATGTATGTATGTATGTATGTATGTATGTATGTATGTATGTATGTATGTATGTATGTATGTATGTATGTATGTATGTATGTATGTATGTATGTATGTATGTATGTATGTATGTATGTATGTATGTATGTATGTATGTATGTATGTATGTATGTATGTATGTATGTATG